TATTTGGGTCAATTTATGCCGAGGCCTTATTAATTTATGAATTTAAGTTGGTTATTTTGTATAAAAAGTTGAAAGGTTGTTGGGTTTCATAATTTTCTGTATTTTTTGGGATTGCTTTTTGTGACTATTTCGATTGTGTATTTTACTGTTTACATTCATAGATGCATATATATGTCTATAAGCATATATATATATATATACACTATTTATATTTTATTGAGGATTTTTATTTCCTTGAGAAAACTGTATATTTTTTCTGTGTCTGTATTTTTGAATATTTCTTTTAAATCTTTTCCATTGAGATATTTCTGTCTTATTCTAGTTATGATTTTGCATTCCGATAGAATATGTCTTATTGTGATTAGGCTTCCACATCTACATTTTGGTGGATTTGTCTTTTTTAATATGTGAGAATGAGTTAAATATGTGTGTCCTATATGTGTTCTGGTTATGACAACTTGTTTTTTCCGAGTATTTCCGAGATCATTTCCCCATTTTAGGTTTAATTTGAAATAATTTATTTCGGTTTGATTTTTCCATAGATTTTGCCATTTGTTTCTTATGTATTTATATATTTTAGATTTTAAGTCTGTATATGGAATTTGAAGATTTTCGTCAATTGTCATTTTTTTAAAGATGATTTAGCAGCATTATCTGCCTTATCGCCTCCTTGGATGCCAACATGGCTAGGAATCCAGCAGAAGATGATATTTTTGCTTTTTTTCCATTGAATGTAGTTTATATAGAAGACTTTGTATTAATGGATTTTCCAGTCTTTTCCCTTTTAGGGATGTTAATACCGATAATGAATCTGAGAAAATAATATAGTTTTCTCCTTTGTTTTTTGATATGAAATTTAGTGCTAGTTTTATTAAATAGGCTTCTGCACTGAAAATTGATGCTTCATTTGGCAAGCGTTTTTTTAATAATTGTTTTTTTTGTTATTGCTGCGCTGCCTGTTTTTTTTCGTCTTTTGATCCATCTGTGTAAATACTTTGATAGTTGTGATATTTTTCTTTTTATTTTGAGAATTTTTCAATGTATGTTGTGGGGTGTGTTTTTGATTTTGATAATTTGTTTAAACTTAATATTATGTTTGGATTTTTGATTATCCATGGTGGTATGTTTGATTGGTTGGTTTTAAGTATTTGATTAGACGGTAAATTATTTTCTTGGATGATTCCTTCCATTCGAGTCCCAATGTTTTGATTTTATTTGTGTTAAGATTAAATTTCTCTTTGTGATTTGGTGTAAGTACACAATCGTGTGTGGGGTTAGAAGGACAGGAAGAGAGTTTTAGATAGTACTGAGTAGCTAGTTTCTCCATTCTTAGTTGTAATGGGGTTCGTTTGCCTCTACATGTAGACTCTCTATAGGGTGAGGTGGGATAGGCTCCTAGAGCTATCCGAAGGCCTTCATGGTGTATTGTGTTTATTGTTTTTAGATAAGACTTTCTAGTTGATTGGTAGACCATGCTGCCATAGTCCAGTTTGGAGCGGATCAACATTCTATAAAGCTTAAGAAGGGTTTCTTTTGCTAGCTCCCCATTCTGTATGGGCTACTGTTCGCAGTAGTTGGAGAGCTTTAAAACATTTTGTTTTTAGGTAATTGATATGTGGTCTGAAGGTCAGTTTGCTGTCAAAGATCATTCCTAGAAATTTATATTGCTGAACTACTGGTATTTCTTCATTCCCTAGTTTTAGAGTTGGGTTATTGTGTAATTTTTTCATTTGGCAGAAGTGTACAGATTTTGTCTTCGTTTTGATATTTTAAAACCGTTTTTCGAGTGTCCATTTGTTTATTTGATGTAAACATTGTTGAAGTTGTCTTTCTGCTGTGTTGAGGTTTCTCGATCTGTAATATATTGTAAAATCATCAACAAAGGCTACAGTGTATTCCTGATTTGATGTTTTTTTATTATGTCATTTATTTTATTTTTGAAAAGTGTAGGGAGAGTACACTTCCCTGTGGTACTCCCCGCTTCTTGCTTTTGATAATCAGAACGTGTAGTATCTATTTGTACTTGGAAGAGTCTATCTGTTAAAAATCCTTTTACGAAGTTTGGTAGTCGACCTCTTAATCCTAGTTTATGCAGATCTTTCATTATACCATGTTTCCAGGTTTGATCAAATGCTTTTTCTATATCAAAAAATATGGCTATTAGATGTTGTTTGTTTAAATTGGCCTCTCTTATGGCTGTTTCTAGTCTTATTATGTGATCTATTGTACTTCTTCCTTTATTATATCCACATTGATATTCTGATATGTGTTTTCCTTCTTCTAGAAACCAACTCAATCTGGCGTTGACCATTAAGCTCCATTGTCTTACATAGACAGCTTGTTAATGCTATTGGTCGGTAACTTTGTGGGTTGTTTCCCTTTTTTCCTTTTTTGAGTATGGGAATAATTACCATTCTCTCCATATTTTGGGAAATTTCCCAGTAGTCCAAATATTGTTAAAATATTCAAAAGGTATTTCAGTGATTCTTGTGGTAGTTGT